TGACGATTTACCAATTTCCACCATGAAAACGAAAATGAAGATTACGTTTTAAATGAATTGAAATTCCTAGATTCTTTGAGATTCATTGAATCTTTTCAATGACATGTTTAAATCTCGATTATGCCCTTCATGTTTGTGACTGGGATACCGATGATCACAAACAAGGTGCGAATAACCATGAAAATGTGCTTGGTACTCTTAATGTTACATATCACTTGATCAATGTGCCAGTTAACCACACACGCTCCATTGATCCATGATTAACATCAAGCTACCCTTTGCCACCCTTTCTAGTCCCAAATTAGTGTGTCGGTTAACCACACACGCTCCACTAACGACTTAGCAAGTTGCAAAGTGCAATTTCCATGGATTAGCACCATTTTCACATTTTTCCTAAAGTAACTAAGATTGGGAATTTATAAAAGTTTAGTTACTTTATAATATAATTATACTTATTAATGAGGATTAATGTCTTATCCTACCCGTTCGGCTAACGGCCCTCCACCAGTCAAGAGTGTGGTCGGTAAGAGTGGATACCCAATGACAGTCATATTATAGGCCGCTTCCTTAAACACCCATTATAGACTAGCTTCGTGAATGAGGCCTACTAACGGTAAGACTGACTTGTCTTATACATATATATAAGTATTAAACTTTAATATTATAATAGTATAGGGTTGAATTTTAAACTTTTAAAATTCTAGGATTTGCAATTAAAGTTTCATAAATGAGACTTTTCAAATTCCAAAACTTGAGGGCAAGTTTTGAAACTCTTCACAACCTCTTGAGTTTTAGGATTTATGTTACATAAATGAGACTTTCCAAGTTCCATAACTTGAGGACAAGTTATGAAACTCTGCAAGACCTTTGGAATTCTATAACTTAAAAAGTTAATGCTTCATGAATGAGACTTTTCATATTCCATAACATGAGGACAAACTATGAAACTCTTCAAGAAACATTTAGATCAAATTTAACTAATACAAATATCATATAATTTATCATGTACCAATTTGACGTAATACTAGTCATATAGCAAGATAATTTCAAATTCAACAAATAATTAGTTTTTCACAAAATCAAGTAGTTATCTTAAAATTTGACAAAAATCATGTTAATGGAAGGGGATAATCATTACAATATCAGTAAAATCAAATTTTATGAACCAAAACAATTTGTGGTAATGATCCTAATCCAAAACAGGCCAAAAAAACTCGAAAATTCTGCCCACCGAACAGTCACCACGTCGTGGTAACTTTGACCACATCGTGGTCATCTGTCAGATTCCAAGAAAAACGATTTCCTTGCTTTGAACAATTACCAATGCATCAATATAACAGAAAACACCCTAGGCTCCAATACCATTAATGGGTTTTAAGTACTATAACACTCTTATGGCGCACATACAATCCTAGATGCTTTGGATCTAAGTTTTCTCTAATTATACATGCAATATTAATTTTCGAAAGCATGAAGCCTAACTAGCATGCAAAGGTGATATTTGAATCATAAAACTAGCTAGAATATTACCTTTTGATGTAGCTTGTAGAACATGGCCTTAAAAGAGCTTAACACCTCAAGTGTGATGCCTCAAACAAGTCACAAACACCAATAAACAATTAGGGGACAATGAGAGAGGTTTAGGAGACACAAAATCGGCTAGCCCTTCTTGCAATGCATGTGGTAACCGATTTTAGAGCTTAGGGTACACATTTAGAGTGTAGAATTCCAAGAGTCATTCCTAACCCTAATTCTTACACTTAAGCTTATGATCCAACTATTGATTTTGGACTAACACTTCATGGACTAACTTATAAGCTTAGTCCATCACAAAACAATAATGGACCATTAACCCAAACCATGTGTATCAATGATTTACATAATCATTCCCTGTTAATTTAATCAGTCTCTTTTGATCACTAAATTAATTCCAAATTAATTCTTGATCAATACTAATTAAATAATATCATTTCTCAATTACTATATTATTCTTATAATATATTAATAAATCACAAATAACCTCTTTTCTCAAATATCCAACCTATCAAATTGTTCTGGTGAAGGCAACCCGAAATGGACCATGCTATTATCGGGTCAAGTACATACCAATTATAGTTATGGGCTTAGACACCTAATACAACAATTAAGACCTTTTATGAATTCTAGACACCTACGATTTTTCAATGTAATCCAACTCTTATCAATAGTTATAACTGTTTCATTATTAAAAATTAGAATGTATGCATATTATAGCATTTATCTATTGTAGCATTCTAATTTTTCATTTTTTTATTTATAGCATCGTACTTATGTTGTTTTTTCAATTATGGCATTGTACTTCACATTATAGCATTTTACTTCTGTTACTTTACTTTTATAGCATTCTATTTCTATTTCAGAATAAAGAGGGATAAAACTAGAACATCCACTTTTGTTTTATTTTTCTATTATAGCATTGTTACTTTTCCATATTTTTTTTTATTTATAACAGCTTACTTATGTTGTTTTGTCAATTATGGCATTGTATTTTACATTATAACATTCTACTTCTATTGCTTTACTTTTTATAGCATTCTACTTCTATTTCAGAATAAAGAGGGACAAAACTAGAACATCAACTTTTGTTTTATTTTTCTATTATGACATTGTACTTTTTCATATATATATATATATATATATATATATATATATATATATATATATATATATATATATATTATTATAACATTTTACATACGTTGTTTTTTCAATTATGAAATTGTACTTTACATAGGGTTACAAGCATAAATATTATCCAGATTAACAAAATCATACACAACTAAGAACTTCACAACATGTATATAAAAAACCCTATACTTTCACAAAGTTTTCAAACATTCTACTTCTAGTTCACACCTTCTATATACATAAATCAATTGGCAAATTTGTAATGCTCTAATTTTTATAGCATTCTACTTCAATTTTAGAGAAAAAAAAAAGGACAAAACTAAAATGCTATACAACCACATTAACATGCTTGAAACAATAATTTTCAAAAAGTTTGTATCCTAAACATAACCAATAACTTATAACTTTTTATCATTAACAAAATCATACACAACCAAAAACTTCACAGCTTCCATGTATAGAAATCACTAACCATAAATTTTCATAAAGTTTTAAACACATTTAGACAATTATTTGTGAAAAAACACAGCCAAATCACCAAAAACTTATTCTGAGCTTTCACAGCACAAAAACTTCACAACCAAATCATACACAACCAAAAATTTTCACAGCTTCCATGTATTGAAATCAATAACCACAAACTTTCATAAAGTTTTAAGCACAATTAGACAATTGTTTGTGAAAAAACACAGCCAAATCACCAAAAACTGATTTTCTAAGCATTCACAGCAGAAAAACTTATTCTAAACTTTCACATACAACAATCATAGATAAAAAAAAGCTTATAAAGATTCACACAGTTCATACCTATTGAGGAAGTGGGGAACCCCGGAAGCAGAAAAGATGGAGACCGCCGGAATGAGAGGGAGACCGCCGGAATAAGAGGGAGGCCACCGCTGACTTGCAATTCAGAAAACCGATTTAATCCCGAGTTGGAGGGAAAATGTCATAGTGAAAGGTTGAAAGAGTAGACGAGAGAACGGTGGGCAAAAAACGATCGACATTTACCTATGCACTTGTAGGTACCGACGATTTCACCTTGAGCTCACGAGAGAAACTGTATTTGTTGGTGCGAACGATTGGGGGAAAAGGGATTTATGTGGTTTTAATTCGGTGAAACCCTATAAGGACGATAAGTCGTCCCTATCGGTGTCCACAAAACGACGTTGCACAGGTTCTGGATATACACACATTATATATATATATATATATATATATATATATATATATATATATATATATATATTATTTATGTTTGGGACGACATGTCGTCCCTACAGCTTTTCGAATACCCGCGAAATCTTTTTTTTGTTCCCGTTCAACCTACGGAAACGATTTGTCGTCGCTTTAGGGTCGGCAGGGAAACTAAATTTGTTGACTCTACAGTGACGACATGTCGTCCCTATATGATCCTCTATGGCGACGACATTTGTCGTCCCTATACCGTTTGTCTCTATAGAGTCATATTCTTGTATTATGAAGTTTTGTCTAAAATTTATTTTTCTTGTTCAATTACACTAGAGAGTAAGCGAGTCTTCCAACCACTTCCAACAGCGCCGCCACCGCCGTCAATCGTCGCCTAGCCGGAGACATACCGTCGGCGAACGTGGGAGATAACAGAAATATAAAATATGAGAACGAAAGAGAAAAGCTCGAGATATAAATATAGAGGCAAAGACCAAAACGTCGGCGGCCTACCTTCGGCCACCGTCATAAGAGACAACAGAAAGACAGATCATGAGATGGAAAGAGATTCGATGAGTAGCTTGGTGTCCCTGGTTTCGAGGGAGAGGGACAGGAAGAGTGGTCGAAAGTAGAAGTAGTTGACCGGTTGGGGTGTTTGTACGGTGGCGGCGGTTGTTCGGTTGCGTCGGTGGCACCCGTGATCTTTGTCGGCGGTTGTAGTACTCTCTACAGGGTTAGAATTGAACAAAAATTTTAGGGTTTTGAATCTAATTGTAAAAATGGATAACGGACATGAATTTTTATGATAGGTGAGCTATTTTAATTATTTTATATTAGTTTATTACATAACATAGTAAAAGCTTTTTAATAAACGTTTTTAGGAATATATATATATATATATATATATATATATATATATATATATATATATATATATATATATTCTTACTGATTATTTTTTTGCCCTTATATTTATGTTAAAAAGTAAAAATATTATCATTGTTCTATAATCAAAATGTATTTTTTAATTATTAAAGCATCATTAGTGTAGTAATAACATTTGACTAAAGGGTGTTTTTTTAGTATAAGATGTTTTTTTTAGTAATTAATGGTGTTTATTTAGGTAATCCTAAAAAAATACATTAAGGGGAACAATCACATGAAAAGAGAAGTTTTCAATCATTACACAATCCTAGATTCAAAGAGAAATTATCAATCATTACACACTCCTACATCCATCGACCTTGCTTTTGGATCCACAATTTGATAGGCCCTATCTTGTCTTATTATTGTTTATTTCAGATATTATTTTTGGACTAGTTCCATTTCTAATAAATACTTCAGCATTATGGTTTATGAGGATACAGACGCATTGGAAGTCCCTTTTCAAGCTTAGGAACCGGACTGAAAATGATTTGCTCATTCGGAATTAGCTTTTCCAACTTAAATTTCGTCACAAGATGATGCATGAACACAAGTATTTCTACTCGGACAAAGTCCTTTCCAGGACACAGATGACCTCCTCCTCCAAATGGTACAAATGTATATGGTGTTGGTCTTTTATTATCGAATCTTGATGGGTTGAACATTTCAGGATCCGGGAAAAAATTAGGATTTTTATGAGTTGAATTAGTACTCCAATACAACTGCAATATTGAAAAACCATTAGCTAGAAAGTTAATACCAATGGTGGTCATGTTTACTAATTCATCTTTATAGCATACCTTCCATCCCTTTGGAATTGAATATCCGTGGTATGTGAAATCGGTAATGGCTTCTCTAAAAGTTCCTTGGGTGGGTGGGACTAATCTAAGAACTTCACATGCCACATTCCAAGAGTATCTCATCTTTGACAAATCCTCCCAGTTCAACAATTCTTTTGATGCTTTAGATTTTGTAATTTCTATTTGTTCTGTACTACGCAAATGATATACAGTTAAAATTCCTTATCCCGATTATTTTAGTTGTAAAGTTCATTTTGAAATGTCTCCCTCTATTATTTTAATATTTATAAGATATTTCACAAATCTAACATGTAAATGTTTCTTTTATATTTGAGGACAATTGATAACCAGACATGTGAAAGTTAACTTGTGTTCTTTTATAAATTTAAACTAGCAAAATCAACATTATAATTGTGTGAGACAAAAACATTAAAATGTAAATGTCTTTGTAATTTAACCTTATATATATGTGTCTTGGATCAGATTAAAAAATATTAAATCACTAACTTTCTAATGTCAAACTTTGTCGTCATATACAAATGTAATGAAATATTTATAGCCTAGTTCTCATCAAAGATTTCTTCATCCTATTAAATGTTAAATCACATGTAATGTATGTTTAGAGGTTCAAAATTCAATATCAATACCAGAAAGTATGTCTGTGTTTTCTTTTGAGAAAAAAAACGTTTAATTAGCAGAAATTGACAAAAGAATATTCAACTTATTATTAATACCTTTGTAGACACCCTCGTAAATCTCTGGCAACTCGGCGAGATATTTAACAATGATTGCACATGTTGAGCTTGAACTGTCATGGCCGCCGATCAACAACCCAACAATGAGATCAGCGACTTCAATTTCTGGCATGGATTTGGCCTCATCGTCACAGAGAAACAACGATAAAATGTCTTGTGTAGGCGAAGCTTTCCCATCAGCCAAATCAATCTTTCTTCTCTTTACTATTGCAGTGAGTTCTTTTCTGATGAATGTGGCTGCATTTATTGCTCTACGTAGCGGTGTTCCAGGGAGGTTTATGGGGATGGAGAAAATTCCAGGAGCCAGCTTTTCGAATGGGCCAGATAGGTTTTTGGCCCATTCTGGATCATCAATACTGAAGAAAATTTTGCATGCAAGCAAAAAAGTGAAGTTTTTTATGAGTTTTTGGGTCATAATCTGGTCCTTACCTTCCCATTCGGTTTGGAAATGTTTCTGTGTCACCATGTCCATAACTGGGACATATTGTGGTAGAGCTTCAGGCTTAAAGTATTTTCGAACCATCTTTGCCTTCGTCCTGTTATGGTCAGAAAAAGGGAGGATCTTTCCGACCGAAGGAGGCAACCATTGCAGAACAAGTTTGTTTTCATTCGTGAACAAGAACTTGTTACCCTCCTGCCCACAGAACACGACCACATCCTGTAGAATTAGAGAGGTCCTGAAAACATGATGCGAGAACTTAGTCATGCGATCTAAGATAAACTTTTCAGGGTGACCCTTCAAACCGGTGGTGACAAATTCTATAGTTTCTCCGATCACAGGCCACCCTCTTCCGCCAGGTGGGAGTTTTGCATCTGCAGCTGGCTTAAAGAAAGAAAAACAAAGTGAGCATGAGATCACAATAACAAGGAGGGAGAGGAGGGAACCATAGAAGATATCCATTATCGAGCTTGATGATTTGAATTTAAGTCGATGAGTTAGATTTCAGTGTTTTGCGATGGAGAACCAAATAAGTATATAAAGAAAGAAAGGCATAAAATGGTAGGTACTTTTTGATGTCAAGAAATTAATATTAGATGGGTGCAAGATAATTAAAATGGAAGGTGATGATTGGTCCATGTGGTGCCTTTATGGCATAGACTTTCCTAATTAAACCAACTCCATATTTGGGATGTTCGAGACAAAACCACTTGGTATATACATTAGACTAATCGGTACCGACTGTGGAGGGGTGTTTTTGCCTCCGTAGAGACAATTCAATTGTGGTAACGGCTGGAACACCGCCCCGCCTTCCAGTTATCAGATGTGGTGTTATGAAATGTGGTAAGGAGCACCACAAACAATACCCAATCAAATCATCTCTCTCTCTCTCTCTCTCTCTCTCTCTCTCTCAACACCAAGTTATAACATGAGAACACCACCCCCACTTCATGTTATAACATGTTAAAATGTGAGACGACAATATTTGGCTTCATAACTCTGTTGCTCACACTCAATGATCTTAAACAATTTATCACGTTTTATATGAAAAATTAAACATAATCTTGCAACTACTTAGTTGCGAGTCACAAGATACCAAAATGTGATCTCCGATATTTGTAGTGGATTCTCGGACTTCATTTATTTGACATTGTACTCCACAACTTAGTTTCAAATCTTTTCTCGGCTCTCCGAAGAAGAAATCTCGCAAGTCGTTACAAAACTGCAAAACAATTAAGTTTCTTTACTTAATTCGTTAATCATTGTATATTAATATAAATATCGTTGTTTAGAACGGAGTCATTAAGATCCAGATCCGGTGTATTGTATTTCGAAACAAGAGTTATATCGATACCCCAAAGAACAATTTTGCCACTCGCTGTTTTCATGATTTTTAGGATTTTCGGTGCGAGATTGATATATAAACCTTATAGAATTCTTAAGGAAATGTTAAATTTCATATAGAGTTAAAAAAAATTGTGTAGAGGTAAAACCATGAATATTGCAATTATGCTTCAAACTAGAATAGTTTCGACACTCTCAAGGTGTGTACAGCGGTTAATGAACCATATTTTGGTTAAAATAGTGTCTTGCAGCTATGACCTTTTTAAGAAAAAATTTGCTAACTCTTGTCTTTATTATTATTTTTTTTTATTATTTTTTTTTTCTGAACAGCGAGGCCAACATTTTCGCAACTCTTATTTTCAATGCTTGTATTTATGAGACAATTTAATTTGCAACACTCTTAGTTTATTAGTATTATATGTCTATAAACGTTCTAAAGCATTTATATATAAAAATGGCTTCCTTACAACCCATTGTGGCTCCCCCAATATTGTAAGATTGCTCACATTTGGTGATGATACTAAGCACTCCATTTCTAAACTAAATCACACACCATTCTACTGACCAACCCTTGATTGAAACTCTCATGGTTTGTACTTGAGACCTTGGGGTGCCCAAGTGTTACCACATGAGTCACTAAGGTGATGGTTAAAGCATTTATATGTGTTTATCATAAAATGTTATATTGATGATTTTTTTTCACAACATACTTGCGTATATGATAGTTACATGTCAAATTAATGTAGTCATAAAGTTGGAAAGAATATATGGAGGAAGTTGACATAGACAAACACATAGGGTGGTAAAGGGATCGAATCAACGATAATTGATTCATTTAATAACTCTATGAAAATCTTGTTATACAAATACTTGTGAAACTAAAATAAAAATAAAAATGGGGTTTTTTTTTCGTCTTTTGAGATATTTAAAAGAAACTAGAGTTAAACTGTCACACCCCAAAACCGAGAACGGCGGAATACGTTCTGGGGTGGAGGACGTTATGTACAGTATCATAACAATGCATAATAGTAAAGACAAGCAACAACATTCATTGCATTAATATAATAATTGTAATACAAGCGTGTTCTGTACTGCTTGTTAGACACCAAAAGTATAATAAAAATAAAGAGGAGTCTTGTATGTGCTCCATCTTCTCAAAAGCTGCATCTGTACCTGTCTACTGATGACCTGAGAATACAAGTTATTTTGAAAGCGAGTATCAGCATAAAGCTGGTGAGTTCATGAGTATTTAGTGTCATTGCTTGTATAAAAATGATTACAACCATGTAGTATAATAATTGATCTCAATGTTGGAAAATAGTATGCTCCCTAGGAAAAACCCTATGTTTTCCAGTAAAAGTGGTCTTCTACCAAGACCCGGTGGTATGTATGTTTGATCCTTTGAAAATGTAAAAGTTTTCCCAGAGAAACTATTAGTAGGAAAATGTAGTTTTAGACTTCATTCATGTAAAGAAATTGGGAAAATAGTGTTTTACCCCAGCAGTATCACTGCCAGCTAATGAAATGAAAATGCAGACTTCAGGTAGTATTAAATGTACAATACACCTCGGGGAGTCTGTTTTGCCTTTAATTCTCCATGTATTAATTAAAGGTCGAAATGTGAACTTGTATGTAACCATGCTGATTGACGATCGAATTCCTGATGACCCTTCGAGTCATCTGTAGAAATGTGACATTTGTCACCCCTGGGCCTAGTCGGCTCGGACTGTAGCTAGCAGTCGGTATGTGGGAGTGTCTGTCTAGTATAATGTATAGATTGTTCTCTTGCATAATGCCCGCTCTCCCTCCAGGAGACTCTGGTTACACGGTGATAGCACAGTGAAGTGTCGTATCGAGAGATAGTATGTCACATTCAATTTTAGTAAGTTCTCTTGTATAATGTATAATGTACTTTCTAGTATAATGTATAGATTGTTCTCTTGCATAATGTATAGTATTCTCTTTGTATATAGTATTCTCCTTGTATATAGTATTCTCCTTGTATATAGTATTTAACATGTATTAACTCATAAACGTACTGACTCTGGTAGTCGTCATGGCAATAGTAGTATTGAGTAGTAATCCTTAACTATACCTATTATAGTTATGTAGTAATGTTGATTGCATGCCTTTGATACCCAAAGGCATTGAAACTGATATGAAAACTTTTATATCTGACACAAATATATAAGATATATAACTAAGAATTCAATGAGAGTCGGACTAATAACAAAATACCCTAAGCCCACAATCAAACAAGAACAGGAAATAAGATGAGCTATTAGTCCTAAGTCCTTCAAATCTTACTTATATAAATAGATTAGTGTTGACATTGTTTGAGAATAAAAAGAGTTTAAAAGAGTTTGGAAATAGTTTTATAACAATTTAATATACAAATAAATTTGATAATCATTTGAAACAGTTTGGTTGACAAAGCAGTTGCAAATATAGAAAATCCTTTTTGGTTGCAAGTTATAAATCACATGTGATTGATACTATAACTTATTTGATTCAACTTGTATTCCCCCCCCCCCATAAAAGCATTTAAAAACATTTAAAAGGTTAATTAAGGGGTATGAACTCACCTGCAATGAGTGAAGTGGATGGAAGTGTCGGGTAGGATGCTAGGTGTCAAGTGAGGACTTGAACACACACACGGATCCTATGTAACATGTAGTGATACATAAATGTATCTAATTAGTTATTTAATCACTAATTAGGTAAGTAAAGACACTCTAATGCATGAAGACACTTTGTTTCAAGTGCAAGGAGTGCTAAAGGTTGCATCTAAGGAGTGTATGGCCTCACTATGGAGTTTACACTTCAATTGGTTACACTTAAGTGTGTTTACGGTTTCTGGACCATTGTCCCCATGCGTTTACGGCCGTAAACTCATGGTAATGGTGCCATTGGGTGTTCAAAGGTCTTAAACAACTCAAGGAATTATGCTAGACTCGAATCTATGGCTTAGGAAGTGATTGGGGCCAGAAATGGACACTTCTTGGAGTTTACGGTCCTTGGATCACCCCCTTGGGAGTTTACGGCCGTAAACACATGAGTTTACGGTCGTAAACTCATGTTGGTTCATTTCTCTTGTGTTTTGGTGGTTCTAGGCTATGCATGCAAGGTTATAGTCCATTAAACATGCTAAGGAAGGAGTTAGGGGCACCAAAACACCCTTTGGGGTGTTTACGGTTTTGGGTGTTTACGGTTTTGGGAGATCCCCAAACCGTAAACACATGTTCTTGGGGATTTTGTGGTTCATACCATGGATTTAACAAGCACACTAAGTAAACCACTAGTTAGGAAGAGTATACTTACTTCTAGGAAGCTTGTAAGAGTGATTTGAGTCCCAAAAACACAAATGTGTTCTTGGTGTTCTTGGTGATTTAAAGATCACTTGATGATCTATGCAAAAATCGGAAATCCATGGATGAGAAGATGTAGAAACACTAGATTAAGTGTTGCATGTAAGGATCTAGGAAGAAAAGTTACATTTTTGGCGGAATTTGGAAGAAGCATGTGATGATACTTGAGAGAAAATCTTGTGTTCTTGAGGTGGGAAGTGGGAAATGAAAACTAGAAGTGTAGACTCATGCTATATGCATGGGTCCTTGGGAAAAGGGTGTTTTCGGCCCAAACACCCTTGTTTGGCCGTAAACACATTGCTAAGGTGTCGGGTTGTTCGGTTTATTACACGTCACTAATTACGTCACTTCCATTTATTTAAATCGTTTGACGAAAAAAATAAATTAAAACACCAAACGGGTTTAAATCCGGCCAAAAATGTACTGAAATGTTTTTGATTATTATTTGAAGTGTTTGACTGTGGAAATTATACAGATGAAAATTTCGGGTTGTCACATCATCCCCCCGTTAGAGGGAATTTCGTCCCGAAATTTAGAATTCGAGCGGCTAATTTTATTACAACACAACTAATCGAAGAGATGAGTATATTTAAGTTTCATTTGATCCTCACGCTCCCAAGTGAACTCCGGTCCTCACTTGGCGTTCCAGTGAAGCTTCACAATTGGGATGCGGCTTTGTTTCGTTCGTTTGACCTCTCGGTCCATAATCTCCACAGGTTCTTCCATGAAGTTGAGGCTCTCGTTGATCTCGATTTCGTCGAGTGGGATCACAAGAGTCTTGTCGGATAT